ATATTTTAGTGCGACAGTTTCTCGACATGCGGAAATCTTAGGAGGATGGGCTGAATGAGTAACAGGATTTACTAGTAACTATAATGAGAGCAGGATTTTTTCACGAGGTCTAGGTAAACTCCATCTCATCCACAAAGACCAACTATGTACTGTATATTCTTATTTGCATCATACAAGTAAAACTCAGACAATAATTACATGAATCGTCATATAACGATAACCGCATTACCCCGTGAATCAACATGTGATGATGACCGCTGCCTAGGGGTTAACCACCCCTATATTAAAAAAATAAATCTGGTCAAAGACCGGGCTGTGGAATGCTGATTCTTATGACAAACGTAAGGACGTAAAACGTAATTTCTCTCTGGTAAAGATACCAGAGAGAAATTTCAAGAAAATTATTTACATCTTTAGTTAAAATGATACGAAGAATTAAAGTTACAATACAATTAATGATATAACCCTAAAGTTTCTGAATACAGTATTTAAAAACATAATAATAGTAATAATAATAATAATTACAATGCCAAGTTATGATTGCTCAGATATGCATATATGTACCATATGTACATAAATCAACCTATGCAGTTAAGTATACAAACAAGAACCTATATGCATAGACATTTACACACTCTCTCTCACACACACACACATTATTCATCCTGGAGTTTAGTAACGCAACTGCACCTTTCAAGAGCAAGATTATTGTGTTGTTTAAATACTACTACTAGTAACTAAAACTAAACAAAAATCTTAGCAGCATGGCTGACAACTGACAAGGGGCCACATTTCAACACAGTAAAGTCATGCTAGCCATAAAATGATTGAATGAAAATGTAGAGTATGCTAAAGTAATGTGGACTAGCCCTTGCAGTCGAGGCTCTCATATAGATAGCTTCAGCACTAGAACCAACAGCATATCTAGCCTTAACACTCTGCATGGCTTAGCACTGGCAGGATAAGGAACTAATCAAGGCAAGCAACTACATCCGGATTTTGTTTTTATAATAAAGACCTAGATACAGACTAAAAAAAAAAAAAAAAAATTGTATTTTCATGTGAATATTAATGCATCTTAAGCAAACTACGTAACACAGTACTGTACTCTACTTTTAACCTCCTGGTAATTGTGTAAGATTTTATTTTATTTTGTAATTGATCTATATATATATCTAAATATTAGTTTTGCACATATGTTCTGTATATCCCTTCAGATAATTTCATCTTAAATTTATCACTTATCTTGTATTTATTGTTTTTGAATTATATTTCTGGCTCACCCTTATGCTTTGACACAACTCTTTGCATGGAATACATTCTTTTGACATTTTATTTCTATACACTTTCTTAACAATCTACATAATTTCATAAATACTGTACTTTTATTTGCTTAGTTACAATACAAAATTATGAAGCTTAATGCAGCAGCTCTCACTCATATTTGACACTCGACCCACAAATCTATAAATAAAGAGTTCATGACGATTCAGTCCATCCAGGACCATTACACAACTTGATAATGATCCCCAATAGACTAAAATGCTGTTAATTCTTTATTTTCAGATTTGTGATCTGCATGTCTTGATTTTCAGCCAAGTTAGTGTGATATTTTCTCAAATGCTTTGTTAAATTACAAGATATACATAATACATTCACTAGCATCATATTTACAAAGCTATTGATATACACAAAAGCCCTGATGCAAAGTTTAAATGAAACATATTAAATGATATTAATAATTATGAGAAAATCAGTAGAAGCCGTGATGAGGATTTGAACCTATGCTCTGGGTACTTGCAATCAAATGCCTTAGACTAGGTCATGACATGGTAAAATGATGGCAACCTGGGGTTCAATCCTCTATGGTTCCTGAGACTTCCACTGAAGCTGAACTATGGTTTTCACACAATCCCCCTATGCACTCTGGCTTTGTTGTCCAGGGGCCAGATTCACGAAGCAGTTACACAAGTACATAAGAACATGTGCATCTTTCCCCAATCTTTGATGGCTTTGGTTACATTTATTAAACAGTTTACAAGCATGAAAACTTCCCAAACAACTGTTTTTATTGTTATAAAACAGCCTCTTGGTGCTTTGGAGCTCATTAACTGTTTAATAATTGTAAACAAAGCTGTCAAAGATTTAGAAAAGATGCACAGGCTCGTAAGTGCTTGTGTAACTATTTTGTGAATCGGGCCCCAGGAATTCTTCCTCTAATGCTTCCTCTTCACTACAAGGAGAAATCACATTAACGTGATGTATTAATGAGAAAATCAGGCGCTGTGAAGGGGATTCGATCCTATACTCTGGGTGCTCCTAAGAAAACACCTTAGACGACTAGGCCATGACATGATAAAAGAAGTTTAACCTGGGATTCAACTGAACCCTGAAGATTCAGTTGAATCCCAGATTTTTTGTTTGTTTTATAAAGTAACTCGATACCAAGCTTTAAGTATTCCCAGTGCATAGAATACACTCATAAATTCAACAAATAATCATATGCACCACTAAAGAATTCTATGAATTTTACTCATAAAATTTAACCAACAATTAATTCTGCTTTTGTTGTGCCCCTACACTGTTTTGTGGTTTTCTATTATTTGACTTATCTTCTAACGAGGAGAAACCATATTCTTTTCATAATAATATCCAAATTTCGAACAAGAAAACAGTTGCATGCATAAACTTACACAATGCCATTATACCAAACTTATGAAATGACCCAAACAGCACCATTGTACAGCTCGTGCTCACTGTATCACTCAATTATAAAGAAATAACAAAATTATTTTGTGATCACAGTGTCATGGAAGATCCGGGCTGTGATAAAGACTATGTACAGGGTTCAGATACCCGTACGGAAAAAATGCTGGTTATGATGTTTCACAGAGTGAGGCAGACACTCACAGAACACAGTCACGGTTTCATGCAGCTACACCTCGTGATAATACACCTCGTGTTCCTTTAGAAAATAAACTTGTGGAAAATTGTTCATTAATACAGTATTTAAATTTATTCTATCCTTTGACCATGCTCCATTCATCATCCCAGCTTATCCTGGGAGCCATGCTCCATTCATCATCCCAGCTTGTCCTGGGGGGCATGCTCCATTCATCATCCCAGCTTGTCCTTGGGGGGGGGGGTAACACTCCATTCATCATCCCATCTTGTCCTGGGGGGTTACACTCCACTCATCATCCCAACTTGTTTTGGGGACCACACTCCACTCATCATCCCAGCTTGTCCTGGAAGCCACACACTGCTAATCATCCCAGCTTGTCGTGGGAGCCATGCTCCACTCATCATCCCTGCTTGTCCTGGGGGCCACACACTGCTAATCATCCCAGCTTGTTCTGGGAGCCACACTCCATTCATCATCCCAGCTTGCCCTGGGGGTCACACTCCACTCATCATCCCAGTTTGTCTCGGAGGGGTCACACTACCCCTCACTGCAGTGTTTGCAGTCATCTTCTTGAGGTTATCTTGAGATGATTTCGGGGCTTTTTTAGTGTCCCCGCGGCCCGGTCCTCGACCAGGCCTCCACCCCCAGCAAGCAGCCCGTGACAGCTGACTAACACCCAGGTACCTATTTTACTGCTAGGTAACAGGGGCATAGGGTGAAAGAAACTCTGCCCATTGTTTCTCGCCGGCGCCCGGGATCGAACCCGGGACCACAGGATCACAAGTCCAGCGTGCTGTCCGCTCGGCCGACCGGTCATACATACAAATGAAGGGTAGAAATAGCCGAAGCTACTCTATCCTTTTGGTATGTACTTCATTATCGCAATAAACTTATTTGAAATTGAACATACATATGCTGGAATTAAGACTTTTTTCCCTTAGTAGTAAAACATATCTGATGCACAAATAACAGGAAATATTACATGCCTCTCCTTGGCTCTTATATCATTGATGAATATAGCAATATTGCAAAAGAATGTAGCATAAAAGTTTATTAAAATATTATTGACTAATGTTTTGATGACAAACATCGTCAGGGATATTATGAATTTGTTGAAAAAAAAGTTTATACAGGTTATGTATCAAAAACAATTAAAAAAAATCTAAATTCACTGAAATGGTTTTTGTAAAGAAAATAAAAGATTTGAAAATTGATAAAATTCCAAGAGCCATCAAAGGCACAAATTACAACAAATTATTATAGCCAGTTTAAAATACTCAGTTTTGTTTGCGTTCACCTTATAGTGTAAAACAACAACTCATATGGGAGATTTATCAAATGCCTTGTCTGGAAATTTAAAATTAGATATGCCGAGCTACGAAACGAAGTACGCACAAAGATTACCTACTAATGATGTGGACATATTGCTCCAACAGTAAGTGAAGCTAATAACAGTTTTCAATGCCTGCTTTCTGTGAGACAAACCTTTATTAGATTACGCTACATTTAAGACAATGTACTGTACTCAAATTTTGTATAATGAGATCTTTTAAACGTCTGCCTTGATTGCAAAGAATACTTTGCTTTTGTGCATACATTTTGGTACACTTCGTTGTGACAAAATAATGAAAGAAAAAGAAAAAAAGGAGAGGAAAAATAATCGCCCTTAAGTAACAACCAAAAATTCATCAAGGAATTCAAATAAATTAAATTCAAATAATGATAATCAGATTTTTGCAAAATGCATTTAAGTCTTTTTCTCACAGATACACCAGTAGGAATACAAGTTCAAAATAATTATGCCAGAACTGCACGTCCCAAACTCGATGCTTTGGCAAAACTCTACAATTCTCATGAAGGCATTTCCTTTGCATGACAATGAAAGAATTTCAGTTAGCCTGTATGGAACTAACAATGTGGGATAAGATAATTCTAGATGAAAAATATACAATGTATATATTATATATATATAAATATACACATATATATGATTGGGTAAAATGTAGCCCCCTTGTTTATTACATAAATGTTAAACAGGAAAAAAATTTAGTGGATGGCTAATGTGATGATGTGCAAAATTTGAAAAACAATTTACCATATCATCGGGGCCTTCACAGGAATGTCGGTAAGGCATCCCCTGGAAAAAAATGGAAATCTATGTTAAAAAATAAACCAAACCAAAACTCTATGACAGGTGGCTGTGGTGGAGGAGGGAGGGAAAACTGCTCTATGCAAAAACTCTTCAACAACATAAATCAAAGGAAAAGGGTAAATATTGCACCCTTGCAAAATTAGTCTATTTCATGCAAGTCTAATCTAAACAAGTAGCATAACCATTCATAAATACAGACAAATAATACTAGGTTGGAATTTGCTTTTGGCGATGAGGATTTACCATCAACATGAGTTCTTCAGGACTTATTAGTCCGGCGGAGAGTCTAAAAGTAAGAGAATAATACACTTGCTATGCGGCTTCTGCTCAGCTAGAAACTCTAATCAAGGAGAGCTCCAGTCTATGGGGAAATAAAATTTGTATAATTTTTAGTAATTATCAAGCCTAATTCTAACAATGGCTACACTAGGAGAATGCAACTTCAATATACAATATCTCAAGTGCATTCACACCGTGTCAATCAAACCACATTTCAAAGTCCGTAGGGAAATCAAATGTTATCTTGCAACACAGGCTCTTTACAATTACTTTTTTTGTCTCCAAATTTAAAGGTGAGATTGACAAGGCTTTGCTATAAGTTGCTCCTTAAATAGTAGGCAGGATGACACCGCATACCTCAGGCACTATTTTGTTGAGCATCATCTCCATGTCATCTCGGACGTATGGGTCCCAGTTTTCATTCAGCGCTAAACTGGCTGATGTGTGGAGGACTGTAAGAAACATCATACAAATTATTTGCATGTAATCAAAGCATAATAGGTTAATGGGGGAATATAATATAATAATGGAGAGAGTAAAAATTGTGTGAAAATCCTGCACTTCGATATGGAATGCAATATAGTATAGTATAGTACAACAAAATTGGTAAATCAAAACTTCCATGGCAAAGCATTTATTCAGTACTGAACAGTCAAATATAGAGTAATAATATTCTTTATTAAGTAACAAATCATTGTACAACTTTGTGTAGATAGAAAATAACAACTGAACTAATTGTTGATTCAGTATCTTCTGAATTAATTCCAATTGATAGTCTAATGCCAGATCACATGAGCCCCAAGATTCTCCATATGGATCATTAACACTTTCGCTCGGGGATGACGCAGCATTGCGTCATCTGTTTACTGGCGGTAATGCCGGGGATGACGCAGCATTGCGTCATCCACTTTAAAAATTCGCCAAAAATCAGGTTTTTATCCGATTTTTTGGGGACTGGTTTTAAAATGCGCGCCGATGTCTTCCCATTTTCTTTGTTGCGCCTAGTGGCCCGCAGGCGGCGCGGCACACGCCGTCAGCCCATTGTTTTCGCTCCACTGTTGTGACCAATGTCGCCTCCCCTCGCGTCTCAAACGTGTGAACATTTCGGCTATTTTCCGTGGCTATATTTCTTACTGCGGCTTCAGAAACTATCTACGCTTACTCCACGATGGATAGTGATCATGAACAAGGCCCTTCCAGGAAGAAAATTGCGAAAGAAAGGCGTGAAAAGCAGAAGCTGAGTAGTGTACAGGAGAAGTACAAGCATGTGAGACTAACTCCCTCTAAGTTTCAGGCTGTATTTGACGATTTGTCTGGGTCATCTAGTGATGAAACTGATGTTGGTATTGATACTGACGCAAGTAGTGAACATTTAGAAACAGAGACGGCCGATGAGGATTTTGATAGTGATGAAAGTGAGGACAGTGAGGAGTCTGAGGTCGAGATTGCCACTCGTGCACGTTCTTCAATTGGCCCTTATATGCACATATCCATCTGAAGAATTCTATTAGGAACATTTTCATACCTAAATGAGCACTGTAACACGAAAATTGAGATTACCACCAGGAAATAATACTAAACATATGTGGGCGGGAATTGGGAGTGTAGCGGGAAGGCGTCTGAGCGCTCACTCACGGCTAACGCGTGGCCCGTCTTCAACTCATCGGCGGTTGGAGCGTGACCTGGTTTTTTATTTTATATGCTAATATTCCTCTAGAGAATTCTATTACGAACCCATTGAGACCAAAATGAAAGACCTAGGACAAAAATTGAGGTGACTAGAGTGAAAACATTTTATCCCGTTTGCGAGCTCCCGGGTAACTCGTTCGCACTTTCTCTGCTTGCTGCGGGTAATTAGCCGGGCTTTTGGAGTTTATATGCATTTAGTGCTGTAGAGAATTTTATTGCGAACACAATGATACCAAATTTAATCTCGTAGAACGAAAATTGAGGTGACAAAGTTGAAGAGAGTATACACTTTTCGGAATTGACGCGCGCTTCCGTGACACGCTGGGGCCCATATCGCCCTGTTGAGGGGTGGCGCGCGGGGTGCGCGAAAGTGTTAACAGCACAGTAATTTGCATACCTCAGTAGTTGAAAAAAAAAAAAAAAAATTGAAAGAAATTACAAAGCAGTGTCTATCATTAAAGCATAAAGTGCCAACACTGGTATCATAAATGGAAAAATTTTCACGATCATGTGTCGAGTAAAATTTTTGACATGGGCAAAGACCATTTTTATTTTTATTTGCTCCAGAATGCTTTGCATTATATGTAAAAACAATGGCATTGCTGCTGCAGCATGACAAGTATATAATTACTGGTATGACAAGAAAAATATAAAGTACTACACACAATAGATCAAATAAAAGAAATATAGTATACAAGTAATTACAATTTTCATACTGTAATACTATTTAGCAATGATACAAATGTTAATAAACAGCCTTATCAAACTGTTGTAAGTTTAAATGTTAAAAGTTATAATTTAAAAGTTGAGTAAGAAATAATGCCAATGGTAAGCAATACTGAAAGAGTACAGAAAATATGACACCTACACTTTAACACTTTCGCGTCCCTGGCATGTGCGCCCCAGCCCACCCCAAGGTGGGCCAAGCATTTCCCGTGAGCCCACTCTAAAATGTGTATACTCTTTTTCAGCTTTCTCACCTCAATTCTTGTGGAACTTCGTTCATTTTGGTATCAAATTGTTCGTAATAGAATTCCCTAAATGGATATATGCATACAAGGTCAAAAAGCCTGGCGTGCCACCTGTACCAAACCCAAAAATCAGTCGAGCGTTACCCATCTATCTTGAGGTTTTCTTGAGATGATTTCGGGGCTTTTTAGTGTCCCCGCGGCCCGATCCTCGACCAGGCCTCCACCCCCAGGAAGCAGCCCGTGACAGCTGACTAACACCCCAGGTACCTATTTTACTGCTAGGTAACAGGGGCATAGGGTGAAAGAAACTCTGCCCATTGTTTCTCGCCAGCGCCTGGGATCGAACCCAGGACCACAGGATCACAAGTCCAGCGTGCTGTCCGCTCGGCCGACTGGCTCCCTACCTTTGATTTTCATGTTATGTCGTTCATTTTGGTATCAAATTGTTTGCAATATAAAGGCGCACATTTTAAAACTACTGGTAGTTCCATAATAACCGAACAATAAATGGAATTTTAAGAAATATTTTAATTATGAACTCTCATCCCCACACAATCTTTCCAGCGTTCTGACCTCAATTGTCGCGTTACGTCGTTCAGACCTCAATTGTCGTGTTATGGCGTTCAGACCTCAATTCTCGTGTTACGTCGTTCATTATGATATAGAATTGTTCGCAATCTACAGGCACGCACTATAAAACTAGTCATATAATAATCGAACAATAAATGTAATTTTAATAAATATTTTAATTTTTGAAGCAAAATGTATCCCCGCCGGACATCAGTAAGATTATCAATGGACGCAAACTGTGTAGCCGCCGGATGAAAGTGTTAACAACTGATGTTTCATGCTTGAACAGTGATAACACAAGAGAACAAAAAAGTAAAAAATGAAGACAAAGATATACACGAGAATAAACTTCTGCCAAATAAAAAAGATGTACTATGATTAATTTAGTACCGAAAGGCACAATAAATTACTGAACAGTAACATATAAAATGCATGTATACAGTAATGTTTCAGAATGCAGCATATAAAAAACCAACACATTGTGAGCATACAGAAAGTATACTTGTAACTTAAAAGTTGTTGCAATTTATACAAAATCCATCATAAGCATTTGCTAAATATTAAAATACAAAGCAATAAAAATAAACTAACAGTTTATATAAATAACATTTGCTGCATGCTTTATGTAAGTGTGCATGAATGAATGCAAAAATTCTGGTCCGAGGCCAAGCAAATAAATGGAGAAAAATATATACAGTAATTCCTGTTGTCGGGATTAAAAGCCTATACATACTTTAAGAGCTTGGCAATATAGATTTCGATAACCCAAATCTCCGAGTAATACGGATGAATTCACATTCGAGCCTTGTACCTTTTTTGACCTCTTAACCCGAACAGGAATCTGGGTTACAAGATTATACAAATGAGAAACCCATATAAATTCAAGTTCGAGTGCTTGCCTTCTCAAATTGAATAGAAATTCGAGTTACTGCATTTTTTGCCAAATGAGAAACCCATATATATTTTAATTTGTTAATTTTTGGACATTCCCTGTAAAAGGATAGGTAACTCTGATGTTCGGTTAACTCAAATGGGGGTGTGCCAAATACACAGTAATTCAGATAACCAAGTACAGACAGCACAGGTGAACCTTGTTTAACATTGGGGTTAAGTTCCTGAAAACTGAGACTTTAACTGCAATGATGTGAAATAAAACCAAGCTGTTTTGTTTTTAGTCTAAATACAGTGTTCATAGATAATGTTTAAGTTAGTCCTCACATTCAGTACATTGCTATACATACCACAGGTTTTCCACATCGTTTTCTCTATCTTACATTGGGGAAACATAAGAATACTGGCTGTCTGATGCCATAAAAGGTTGAAATTTATTTATTTAACTTTTCTCATAACATGAAAACAAAAGGACATTAATCGGGGTGACATTAAACAAGGTTTACCTGTACTTAGACTTATCGAAGCCTCCCTAGGGTCTAGGCCAACTACTGACCTTCCAACAACCCTCAACAGTTACCCCCAAGTCATAGGGGCCTATTTACTGTAGGATGCAACCCACAACAGTTGCTTAACACCAGGATACCCATTTACTGCTAAATGAACAGAGGCATCAGGTGAAAAGAAACAATGAAACGCTTCTGTCCTTCTGCTGGGATTGAACCTGGATCCCTTGGTTGTGTCTCAAGAACATAAACCAGTGTTGCAGGACCAATCAATGAATGATGTGTCCAGCAGTACTTACAAGCCAGATCAATTGTACTGTACATGCAGAAAACATTACAGTATTGTACATGGGATGAATAAAGAGCCCACTAAATACTATCTGAAGATTTTAAGAAATATTCTTATCTAGCTGAACCTAACCACATACAGTACTTTAATAATGTTATATAACTGCCCGTTATAATCACTGAAAATATTGTACAGTATTGTACTATCACATGAGAAAATCTTTGGATAACGATGGCAGGATTGCACCAATATATATTTTCCTGTTAAATTAATATACTGTATACAGAAGTCATTAAACTTAAGTTGTTTAACCACTTAAATTCAAAAACAGGATTTTATTAATTTGTATATACAGTACTGTAAACATTTTGGCTATACTACCAGCATAGACTAAAAGATTATGTACCATACATCAGTCAGTGGTTTCAGCCTAATTTAGATGTACTGTACAGTAATGGTAAAATTTCAGGTACAGTAATACAGTACATCAAAGTTTATTTTTACACAGGTGAATATAATTCTAAGCTAAAACTACAATTTTTCTGAACAGTTATCCGGAGCAGTGTATGTTAAAAATTGATTGGATACCATTTTGTGCTAATTGCTATTCATTTATGAGATGTTTCAATTGTTTCAGATTGTTTTGGTTGTCACTTTGTTGCCAAAACAATTTCAAAATTTGGAATATTTTGGATGAGACTATCATCAAAACTGCTCTGTGAAAAGGGAACATATTTTTAATTGTGACATGTTGCGTGTACAGTACTGTTCAATGTGATATTCTTGAGGAAGGAAGTTGCAAGTATCCATCATGTGGATTTTGTGAGATGCACAGACTAGCCGCATCTCTTGTGTGTTCGAACGTCTGAATTCTTAGTTGCACTGCAAGCTGACATATTGAAACTTCTGCCTCTCTTCTCTAATAAGAGTTTCAGAGTTATCACGAAAATGCACTTGTACTGTATTTTATTATGTTGTCATGTATAAAATTAAAAAAAGTACCAGGTAGTTAAAACATGTTAAGTATCAAAACATGCTCTATTTTAGCAGTTTTATATTTAACTAGTTCTTTGAAATTTATTTAAATAAGAGAGCTTTGTTGTTTGTGTACAAAATGCCTTTGTTGCACATGAAACACCTCTTTGCACTGAGAAAATCAGAAGGAGGTATGAGGATTTGAACCTTTAAACTGGGTACTATGAAACACTTTTGTTTAGGGAAAGCATAAAGCTCTGCACTGGGATAGGCAATTATTCAGCTGGACACAAGTCCCATCGCATACAAGACTTCAAAGCTTACCTAATCCTACCAATCCTAACTTAACCAAAACCTACTTGACCTACCCCAACCAAGTTTAATACTTCCTAACCTAATAATATAGTGTATGCAGATGACGAGTCACAATAACCTGGCTGAAGATATGATGACCAAACCACACATCAGAAGATGAAGAAATGACGACATTTTGTTCCGTCCAGGATCATTAATCAAGTCTTTCATTGTGACTCAACAATGGTGCAGGAAGCTGGATTGAAACATCGTCATTTCTCCATTTTCTGATGTGTGGTTTGGTTATCATATAAAGGGCATGACAATTAGAAAACAAGCTTTGTTGAACTGCCAGAGTACACTTTGCCTATAGCCCATTCAGTTTCTACAAGGCTTTGTGTACAAAATTCTATACATAGCACATGCATGTATTAATGGGCCCAGAATGAAGATTATGTATTTTTTTTTACAATTAACCCTTTTCCACTAGCTAAATGTTTACTTAACATGTTAGGTAGGTTAGGCCTAAACTATGTTATGTTTGCATACGGTAGAAGTTTGGTATTACTAATTATGAACTAATAAAAGTATCAAATACTTTTCAAATATTACAGTATGTCAACTTTGACATACTAAATTGAGTTTCTATAGAGGTTCTAGGTCAGCATTTTTTATTTAACAAGTAACTGATAAGTGTATTTAGGCAAGCAAGTCACCAATATAATACAGCCGTCTGACTAATGCCTAAATTCATATTCCTTCAAGTGGCCAGAGATCTTCCCTGAACAATCAGCTGTCAAAAACTAAGTGTCCACAGGTGGACAGAAGAGCTAGCACTGACCCCGACAGTACGACAAGAGGCACATGTGTGCCTCCTACAGAAATAGAGCGTGTTATAGAGCCCAGTGGGAAGATAATTGTACAAACTGCAGACGACAGGCCTGGCGTGGCTGGCCCAGGCATGCCGCCACCCGCCCTCTGCTCTACTCACTCTGTACGTGTAGTAACCCTACGGAAAATTGCCTGAGTTCGGGGATCTCCTTCAGGACTTCGTCTGTCACCAGGTGGATCCCTCTGTGCTGCGGCCGGAGCTTGATTTTTCTCTGGAACCACGCAGATCCGATTTGTATTCCTCTGCTGGAGGAAGCCATGTTTGCTATGACCATTGACAGCAGACGGTCTAGGGCACCCCGCCTCGCGCCGCCCTCACACGCCCGCCACACACGCCCACACCGCCCACGCCCCACACAATCCCAGCGTCGGGGCACTGCGGCGGCCACGGGCGACACGACACGGGGGAAGATAAAGCGTAAAACATTAAAGATGGAGGATTAAGGAAAGTGATCTCCCGACAGATGGCGGCGGCGGCGACGAGTGAGGCCCGACAAGCGCCGCCGCCGCCGCCAGTGTTTACCAACACCCGCTAGTGACAGGTCACGCCCTCGCTCTCCTCCTGTCACCTGACCTCCCAGGTCACGCCCTCGCTCTCCTCCTGTCACCTGACCTCACAGGTCACGCCCTCGCTCTCCTCCTGTCACCTGACCTCACAGGTCACGCCCTCGCTCTCCTCCTGTCACCTGACCTCACAGGTCACGCCCTCGCTCTCCTCCTGTCACCTGACCTCACAGGTCACGCCCTCGCTCTCCTCCTGTCACCTGACCTCACAGGTCACGCCCTCGCTCTCCTCCTGTCACCTGACCTGGCAGGTCACGCCCTCGCTCTCCTCCTGTCACCTGACCTCACAGGTCACGCCCTCGCTCTCCTCCTGTCACCTGACCTCACAGGTCACGCCCTCATTCTCCTGTCACCTCCCTCTCTGACCTGACAGGTAATGGCTTCGCTCTCCTGTCACCTCCACTCTGACCTGACAGATCATGCCCTTGCTCTACTTCTGTCACTTCCACTCTGACCTGACATGTCATGCCCTCACTCTTTACATGTGACCTTGCCTCCCCTCTAATGTGTCCTCATCCCTCATCTTCCATCTGACCTCACACATCACTCTCTCTTTGCAACCCTCCCCTCCTGACCTTGGTCACCCTGACATCTGACCTTGCTTCATACCTGCTTGATGGGGTTCTGGGAATTGTTCTACTCCCCAAGCCTAGCCCGAGGCCAGGCTTGACTTGTGAGAGTTTGGTCCAACAGGCTGTTGTTTGAAGTGGCCCGCAGGCCCACATATGCACCACAGCCCAGTTGGTCCAACACTTCTTGAAGAAAACCATCTGGTTTTCTCTTGAAGATGATGTCAGTTCCTCTGGCTTGCCAGCAGTCCTTGCATTGCCTTCCCTCTGACCTCACAGGCTTTCACCTCTGATTTCAATACTCTTCTATTTGGTCTCACTCACCTGCATCTCTTAACATTCCACCTCTGACTTCTTGTTTTCTGAAGTCGGATACTTGCCAGGTTTCACCTCCCACCGGGAACTACCTCTAGTTTTTATTTGTATTTGTAATTATATACAGTGCTGTATATATAAGGTATAATAGGTTGTGAAAGTACATATGTTGGTGATTAAATGCCACATTCTTGCAGAGCCACTCCTGAAACACTGTATTAGTGGCTTTAAGCATAGTATATACTAGCTCTATCTAGAAATCCAACATTCTGTTTCTTACTCATTTTGTATGTATGTACTTTTACCTTAATAAACTATTTATTTATTTAACATTCATGGCATTTTGAGTAAGTCCACTCAAGTCATCCCCACCTTTCAATCTCGCATCATGCCCAAACTTGCTGTCTCTTCTCCCCTGAGAGCTGAGCTCATCTTTGCTCTTGCTGCTAACCTGACCTCTGGACCTCTCATGTTATGCCCTCACTTTTGATCTAACTCCTGAACTCTCCACTTCTCTCACTAATGACTTTGCCGCTCACCTCCCTCTTGCCCTCCTGCTAACTTTGTCTCATAATCTGCATGTTTTGCAAAGAGCAAGAGGAGTTCTATGAACACTGTCAAGTCTGTGATACGTTGTGTGATCAGTGGAACAGAATACATGTAAAATGCACACATTAAAGAATCTTGACCTAACATAGTCTAGTATAATACTAATCACACCATGGATCGAAGTGCCATTGAAATGTTGAGCGCTTCTCTGGTTCGAGAGTATCTTGCCAAAAAGGTAAGATATATTTTTATAAATTGAAGAATGAGTATTTACGGTATATAGTGGATTAATAACATGTGAATCCCTTCAACTAAGCAATTACTCAAGTTGTTGTTCATTGGCCAAATTGGTGGCCAAAAAATAGCATTGAATGAAATCTGACCCTAGTTCTAATATAGTAGTACTGTACTGTATACAGTATATATAAAATAGGTTAGGTTTTTAGTGTTAATTTGCTCTCTGCATTACAAGCTGCCACCTGGAAAGGTTAGTTGGGAAGAGATTTTTCAGGTGCTCCTTTAGCATTTCAACAAATCATTCTTTACAAATTTGGTTTCCATCTTGATCCAATTTTTTTTTTTTTTTTAAATTTTCATTGTGACATCCTATCATTTGAAAGTCCTGGTATTACAGTCGGGTTCGTTCTTGATGTACAATCCAGAATTCCAGGTTTGAATCCCGGGTGGGTCAGAAATTGTAGGGCACACTTCCAATCACCTCATAGGCCTGTTTACCTAGCAGTAAGTAGGTGCCCCAGGAGTTAATTAGCTTGTTGTGGGGTTGCATCCTGGGCAGTGTCAGTAATTCGACCTGAGGGGAGGGGGTGGAACCTCAATACAAGTTTAACGTGTATGAATACTCTGGCTTCCTGTCCCCGACACAATGAATTATTATCATCGTTCTTTTGAACGATGAAGTATCATCGAAGTATTTGTTCTTCGAGAGCCTTCCTGGGCCTTGAACTCTATCTTCCATTTTTTGTATATAAACATTTATTATCTTTAGTGTAACTATATACATCATGATTGATGAAGCATTAATTGACCAGTGATAGTGTATTTGCTTTAGGCTACCACTGTGGGATTTTTACATGTACTATATATGCATCTTTTCCATAATGACTGGTGTTGGTTTTCTATTGTCAGAAACAGAAAGCTTGTCAGGCATTAACATGTTCTTCCTAGGTCAGCTACTAACCTATTCTAATATATAACCCACAACAGTTGCCATACTCACAAGTCCTTATACTGCTAGGTGAACAGGTGCATAAGGTGTAAATAATTTATCAACCTTCTTGTCCTGCCCAGGAATCAAACGTGGGACCATTCTGGTGCAAGGCAACGCATAAAATATATTAGGAGTCTACACACTGCTGTGTGAAGAAAGAGCTTGGATACAGAAAAATGTAACATACAATGTGACCTGTGCATTTATCATGAAAACTATTATAAAATACTTAGAATTGATTTTAATTTAATTAAATTTGATTTGATTTTAACAGTGAGTCAGATTCCTAGCAATACATACCTAATTTAGCCTGTCTTCATCTAGTGATATTCATTATCCAGGTCCCACTTACCTGCCCAGGCTGGGTTTTTAGTTTAAAAAACCCAGGTTGGTTTAGAAAACATATTTTTTCTTCATATGGGCCAACTTAGTTATTTCTATTTAAATTTAAATTTGAATTTTGTTATTTATTGATTAAATACATAAAACTCAACCTGTCCCAACTTGGACAGGTTGGGTTTTAAGACAAAAAAAAAATTATTTTTTTTTAACCAACCTTGAAGAAATTGAAAGAAAATTAGCAGTGCTTGGAGATATTATTACCAATTAGACATTGTATGCACCAATAAATTACAGTACAGTACAGTACTGTATTGATATCTATTTTTTTTAGACACCTCTGTAGCCATACATACTGCAGAAGAAAAAATCATGTTTTTTTTACATCTGGCATAAGCTGCACATTAAGTTTAATTACATTTAAATAAAACTGTTAAAACCTTCTGCATTACAATAAATGACAGTAATTTGCAAATGGAAAAAATTTATAGCATGATGGAGATAGTGTTTAAATTCTTGTTCACTAAAACTGTCATAGTTTAATTTGACATCAATAGACATACAATAGTTTTTATGAGACAAAAAAAATTTAAGTTTAAGAAAAGAGTTTTGTTAGAAGTGGGAGCAATATTTATTTGATTTTCACTATCACTGTTATTAATAAAAATTACTGTAATTTTATTTGTTCAAATTTTCTATATGACTTAAAAATTAAACCACACTAATTAGCAACTGGTACTTTATGAAGCATTTATGGTTGGTCAATAGGTTAGCTAAAAAGTACTTTTTAAAAAAGAAAATTGTAACATTCAAACCCGAATTAATGTATTTTCTGGATGGGCTGAACAGTAATTCAATGAAGCTAGCCCGCTGAGCTAGTTTCCCCCATTAGAGTTACATCAGCCTTAGTACAGTAGTCCTTTAAGGTCTATCAGGGACCAGAGTCAGAACCTGGCCACCCACCCATCCTCCTCACAGAGGCATAGGGAGCGGGAAATTGTTACAATCACCCTCATCAACAAAACGTCCAGAAAGGCAGTGAGACAATACAAACAACTGCAAGGTTCAAAGAAAATGAAGCACTGAAATAGCTATATGACTGCAAATAATTCACTTAGAACTTGGTAAAATCTCCCTTAAATATGGCTGGCCACCAACAGGTGGCAGCACCCTGGGAGCTCCTGGCTTCCATGCCATCTTAGCCTCAGTCCAGAGATGATGTCCTTGAATTTGGCCCCACCGAATCCCACCTCTTTTTAAGATAACAATAATTAAACAGAAAGTGTAGGCCATCCTTTGGACAGTCCTGTGGGGACCATGTCTTTGTGTGTTGTTTCTGACTTTTGTATTTGCTTCACAAGCATATTTTTCAAGCCTCTAATCATTGTGTGGGTTTGGCTTATTCTTCACCTCGAGTGGCATGTGTTTAGGGTAGCTCCATAATCACCTGTTTTTGCATTGCTCTGACACTGACTTCTCTGGTGAGTTTGGGAGTTTGCCCTTGATAGGCCATACTACTGTATAAGGTGCAGTGCCCTGGATAGTACAAGTGTCTGACTCCTCTTTGAGGCCCCTGGGGTTGGGAGCATTTAGTTTTTTTTGCTGTGGGGTTTACTAGGGGTTTATATGTTTATCTATACAGCATGCCAGATGTATAGATATCTGGCCTGTGTCTGGAATTTCAGATGCAAGTCACATTTGCATGGGGCACAGGTAGCTGTTGGTTTCCGATCTGTGTCTTTTGTGGCAACAGTAGTATCAAGTTTCTTGACACTCCTTTCTGCTCCTTGTCTCTGTTCATCATGTTTTTTTCTCTGTGTCTGTTCCAGTGATTTTTGTCCTTTTTGTCTTGGTTATTTGTTGATTGGCATATTATTCCTAATACAGTTGCTTTTAATTGTTAGCCTTGGCATAGCCACTCAACATCAACATTTTGTTGGTGCCATTTTGCAAGTTTGCTCATGCCTTCTTTCACCTCCTGGTGGCTCATGTTCCTCCTGAGCCATCTTGGTCTCTTGGCTGGGTTTTGGTATTTCTTTCTTTCCCTCAGTTCTTAGTTGTTTCTTCGGTCTGGAATACACTTCTTAAGGCTCTTTTTGTTGGCCCTTGCCTTCGGTTGTCAGGTGGGGAGGCTTCATGCTTTCTTCCAGAGGGGGGGTATGTCTGTTCCTTTGGCCCTGGTTGGCAGTTTCTTCATTTGCAGCCTTCTCCTTTGATTGATTGGCTTCTGAGGGGGTCTTTTAGTAGTTGATACTTGATCTGTTACTTTGACCAGGTTTGCATCCTTTAATTGTGTCCTGTTGCAGCAGTGTGTGTTATATTATATTATATATTATATATATTATATATATATAGATATTTCACTGTTGACCCAGTTTCCTTTGTTCCCTCTTCAAGGCTCATCCCAGGTTGTGTGCAATGTCATTAAATCTAGCCAGCCTTGGGACCATGATGATATGATCACAAGTATTTTCCTTTGTCTGTAGTGTTTTCTAACATGTCACATGCTGATAGGCTTGGGGGTTTTGAAGGTCTAACTGGGTCATGGCAGCTTGTTATCTGGTCAGTGTTCCTGGTCCCCATTGTGCTGAGGACAACCTGATTGTCCTGGGTCAGGTTCCTTGTTCTGGTGTCTAGTCTTCATAAATGTAGTTTTTGCTCTCCTCCCCCTGGTATGTCATGTGTTTTCCTTCTTCTCTGTTGTTAGTTTGCTTCAGGGAGCCACCAAGAAAACCAGTGTTGAATATAATGAAATGCCTATTTCTGGTAGGACCTCGGTTGCTCCCTGATTATCTCCCACCCTTCCCCTCACCAGATGTGTCAGTTCATAATCTTTCAGCTCTGGAATGAGGGTAAGATGGTATATATCTAAGGGATGGGGGATTTCCACCTAATTTCTGAGTGACTCATTTGTTGTCATATAGCTATTTCAGTGCTTCGTTTTCATTGAACCATGCGGTTGACTGCATAGGTTAACTGGCTGCCTGGATATTTTCTCAGTGAGGGGTGACAATAACAATTCTCTGGTTCCTGGTAGACCATACAAGACTCCTATAGCCCTATGAAAAGAGGAGTTTGTTTACATTCAGTTCTGATTTTAGTTATTTTATTTCCAAGTGTTAAAAAATGCTTTGGACAGGGTTAAATATGTTTTTGTTTTAATCACTGAAAATGCATTTGGTTAATTATTAATGTATTTATATTTGTTGGTTCAGAGGTTGAAGAAGACACTACAGCAACTAGATGAGGAGCAAAGTGGGTATTCCACGTGTGTCCGCAACCGCCTGAAACTTATGAAAGCATTGCACATTGGCAAACTCATGAAACGCAACAAGGAGCTAGATTCTGCACTGGATTCAATGGTTGAGGTCATCGTTCACTTCTTGCTTGACCATGCACATACATCCAGAAGCCAAGCACAAGCCCCACAGAATGATCATGTGTGTGAGAGGAAAGAGGACCAACTAGTCAAAGCCTCTGATGTTGATAATGCTATTTTTGTAGAAGTTTATAGTAATAATGTGCCCACTAATGTTGGCACTAATGAAATCTTGTTTGCTGCAAATAAAGTTGGTGCTCAGTATGGAAATGATAACAAATCAGGTAGTGATGTTAATGAACAGTGCCAATATTTCAGCCAAGTGTGTGATAGTAATGAGCAATGTAACAAAAATATGGAGCAGTGTACTCCCTTTAAAGTACAAGCAAAAAATACAACAGATATACGTCAAAGTGAATATGAATTGAGGGAATATTTAGCTAGCAAGGATTATAGTGGAAGGGATAATGATATCAAGTGCTCACAACCTGTTGCCAATATATTAACATGTAATGAATCCGGTGAATCTTCATCGAGGGAATCGGACACAGATTCTGAGGCTGAATCAAGTGTTTCATCAGTTGTTGATCTCCTCATGGATGTGCCAGATGGATGTAGGAATCCTAATGGTGTAACAACAGACATGATATTTAGTGTGTCAGACTTGCCTCGACTACAGACTCCTCGCGTGTCTCGCACTCAACAAGAAGTTAATGTGATTGTTGCATGGACAGAGGAAAGTGACAATGAAGAAACAGAGATGTGTACAAATCGTGCTATAGGACACATGAAATGTGAAAATTCAAGCGAAGAACTTGAGGCAAGTGAAAAGTGGGCAAGTGAAAGACCAGAAAAACACGAGAAAGCTAATAACATTTCACTAAAAGAAGCACGAGAATGCGATCAAGAATTTCCACCTCAAGGTAGGTTGCGTATTTTTCCTGGAAATGAAACTGATTTTTATGTTTACTAGTGTTACTGGAGACTTGATAAATGTGGTAAGCAATTGGTGTGTAATTGTTGATGTGGATTAGATATATGTAGACTTATGCTTCGACTCACCCTGTACTCAAGAAATTGGCACATCAGACTAATAATGTACTCCATATGCAAATTGTTGAAACATGTAGATTGTGGAATATGCATCTACTTGCATTGTTCTCAAGTAGATGAAACATCAGACTAATGATCTACCCCCACAACAAACTGACTAACTCTTGAGTACCTACATGCTGCTAGGTGAAGAGGTACATTAGATGATAGGAAATGCGCCCACTCATTTGTCCCGCCCAGGATTCGAACCCGGAATTTTCGATTGTGAGTGGAGAACGAACCCGACTGTAATACCGGGACTCTTAAATATGTACTGTACTATATTAGGTCTCAGATAGTATGTGTTAGATCTAGGATGGTTAGGTTTGGGTTATATTAGCAACATATCTACAAAACTTTCTCCGGTTTGTCCAAATTCAGTAGTACCAAATTCTACTTTCTAATTGTTTATTACGTCAACATATGTACGACGGTCCACATCGTTACTATTAGTATTATCTCACAGGATAGGCTGGTTTATTGAATTTGAAAACATGTTAGTTAAACGCGAAGAGTGATTACCGTAGAGTTTACATAGTTTGTGACACCCCTGAGTAGTGTTTGGTATCAACACGCTGCCGGGAACAGAAAGCCTGTTTAGCTTATCAAGGTCCATGTAGCCTAGAAGAGGCTGTATGCATGACCATACATTCAGTTATTGACCACACTCAGTGGTGCTTAACCTCACCGAGTGACCCTCTTTAATGTTAGGCCTAGACAAACACAACATGCGTATTTACATAACTATACCACTAGTAGCTAGATGATGCATTTTTCGACATAGACAAATGAAATGTATAAGGCTTTAGTTGGAATCCGACAAACTAAGTAAATTCAGAAAATAATGAATAATAATTCATTGTAGAGAAATCGAGTCACGTCTTTAAAACAATGTCTGGCCAAGGTTGTAGGCCAGAAACTTGAAACAAGCCAGACGAAACACTGCGTGGCGATGTGTGTGTGTATGGCCAGTGCTATAGGGCGGTTGGGGTTCGACCCCCATGTCCCTCTTTAAGTATTTCAGTATTTAAGTATAAAGTATTCCGAATCCCAGTGAGGCCTATGATGCGTAGGTGTGACTGTCCATAATGTTAAGACACATTTGACTGCTGTTATCGACGTTGAATCGACCTCGATAACAGCCATTGGTACTCCGGCATCTTTTGCCCGCTATGGGAGAGAACATGGAGGAGGGAGAGCAGCATGGGAGGAGAGAGGCAGAGTGAGCAGATGGGAGGGAGGGAGGCAGAGAGAACGGGAGGGAGGGATGGAGAGAGAACAGGAGGGAGGGATGGATGGAGAACAGGAGGGAGGGAGGGATGGAGAGAGAGAGAGAGAGAGAGAGAGAGAGAGAGAGAGAGAGACCGCAGGGTAATCACTCTAGTATGACATAAACGGAGAATGTGAATATAGATCCCATGAAGACTATAGACTATGATTAAACCTTAACATTAAGACATGTGATATACAAGTACTTACAGGTAATGATGAGCAGCAGGTACCTGAGTGCCACCATCACCACTAGTGGCCCTCACGGGGACACCAAGTTCTCCAAAGTTACTCTAATTATTGCCGAGAATTGATTTCCTGCAGAGTATTAAACTTGTTGAGCATGAAGCTAGATAACCTTCGCAGTTCCATCACCTAGTCTCAGGTCTTAATACCACTAAACATAAGGTTTGGGTCATTACAGTCAAACTGACAACCTCTAAAAGGCTTCGAGTCCCTAGAGCTGGTTCTCAGCCTCTGTTAATAGGGTAGTTTAAAATACCTCCACACATCCGGAAACAATAACTGACACCATACAAGTTGAAGCCCACATGCCTAGATATTTTTCTCCCTAAATTATATCACTGACTCAAGATTTAGCAGTAAAAATGTCTCACTTTATTTGTCATTTTTATTTATGCATTTGACATGGTTCAGTAACACCTGGCCTCAGTAAGGAGGCAGATGGCGTGAGACTTGGCCTCAGTAAGGAGGCAGATGGCGTGAGACCTGGCCTCAGTAAGGAGGCAGGTGGTGTGAGACCTGCCCTCAGTAAGACGGCAGGTGGTGCAAGCCCGTGGTCACCCAGCCCTCAGATGACATTTTATAGTGATGAAAAATGCACGCCGAGCTGCCGTCCTCTCGTATGTTGCTGCCGTCCTCCCGTATGGCGCGCTCACGCTCCCGTTTTCTTTTCTTCGACAGTGACTGGTGGAGGAAGGAGGCAGATTGCTCCTCTTCCCTTATGTTTTTGTATTTTGTGAATTCTCTGATATTTATTGCTGTGGCGTTACTGCGCCGAGGGTTTATGTTTGGCAGAGGTGTGATATGATCCCCCGGGGAGCAAGTGTATCGCTCTACATGCGGAGGAGAGTTAGGAGAGGTGTAAAACATTGCCTTGCGTCTTGTGTGTTTAAACGGCCGGCATAAGTTAGCACTTTATATTTAGCGTACAAACGATGACTTATCGCTCGCTCTCGCTGAGAAGAGGATGGTTGGCGGGGCGAGACAAAAGATAATTGGAAGTGGGGTGAGGGTGATGGAGTAGTTGATGAGGTGCGAATTAGGCAACCCGTTCTCGCAAATTCATAAAGTCAATATTGACTTATTAACTACGTGCATAGGTGATATACTAAACATAATAGATACCCCTAAAAAGATTCATAGAAAACACCGACCTTACCTAACCTTGTTAGTATCTTAAGATAAGCATCTTATTGCTTCGTAATTACAATTATTACTTAACCTATACCTATTATAGGTTATACCTATTATAGGTTAGGTAATAATTGTAATTACGAAGCAATAAGATGCTTATCTTAAGATACTAACAAGATTAGGTAAGGTCGGTGTTTTCTATGAATCTTTTTAAGGGTATCTATTATGTTAAGTATGTCACCTATGCACATATTTAATAAGTCAATATTGACTTATTAAATTTGCGAGAACGGGTTGAATTAGGAGTGTGTTGGTCATCATACTCTTGGGTACACTACTCACACGACGCCCACTCTCCTACTCACAAACTACCAATCTTGGGACTGAGTGGACAGTACTCGGGGGTCGTAGTCCTAAGGGCCCGGGTTCGAATCCCGGTCGAGGCAGAAACAAATGGGCAGTTTTTTTTTACTCTGATGCCCCTGTACACCTAGTAGTAAATAGGTACCTGGGAGTTAGACAGCTGCTTCCTGGCGATGTGTGTGTGGGCGCGCGCGTGTGCTAGTGAGAACTACATGTAGTAGATAAAATAGAAAAAAATAAATTGGTTAGAAAGGCGGGGTCCAAGAGCTAATAGCTCGATTCTGTAGGCACAAATAGTAAATATCTTATGAACTAACTCAACTCCGATGCATACTCATAGATTATACAAGCAAAGAAAAATACAGGACTTGATAGAATACATAAAATAAAGTTGTTTAGAGATGAAGGAAGGGATGTGATGGGATGGGATGAAGGGGTCTAGCGGGAGATGGGGTGCAGAGGGACAAGGGTGAAGAGGGGAGTAAGAAACCTGGGAGCAGCAGCGTCACCATTTAACTCTGCTTCAGTCTGAGGGCTTCACCCCAACCGCCCCAACTCTCCACTTCTGACTATCCCTGCATCTGTTAGTTGACTCACCTCGGAGACCGAGTCAGCTGACTTCGTTGTGGAGTCTGACGGTGTTGTGGTTGATCCTGAGCCAGCTGCTGCGTCCCTTGGCCGGCCGCCCCTTCCCTTGGCCGGCCGCCCCTTCCCTTGGCCGGCCGCCCCTTCCCTTGGCCGGCCGCCCCTTCCCTTCCCCGGCCGCCCCTTCCCTTGGCCGGCCGCCCCTTCCCTTGGCCGGCCGCCCCTTCCCTTGGCCGGCCGCCCCTTCCCTTGGCCGGCCGCCCCTTCCCTTCCCCGGCTGCCCCTTCCCTTGGCCGGCTGCCTCTTCTCTTCCCCGCCTGCCCCTTCCCGATGCCTTATTCTCCCTCACCGGACCATGTCGGTGTGCCTATGCCCTTCCCACCGTCCTCTTGACTATACCCTATTTGCCAGATTTACCTATATCCCCCAACCCGGAATTCACTCACCCTCCTGCTGATCCTTCTTAATTTACTGTTGTTTGCCTTAGTTTCTTCTCCTTTTCTTTAACCGTTTTCTGTTCTTGACTATGTGAATTCTTCAATGGCGTATATATGGTTTTTATGACAGTTTCCATGAACTCCAACTTCTGATCTCCCTGTTTTCACCGCTTTCTTTATGTCTCCAAGACGCCGATGCTTGGCGCTCGTCCAGGTCACTTCAGTGGTTATTTCTGTCTCTCTTTCCCTCCAGCTTTTGTCGGGACCCCTAACTCTACTACTCACTTGGTTCGATATTACCTTTGTCCCCCCTTCTTTTTCAGTCCAGCACTCATTCCTCTACCACTGTGAGTAAATGGTATACAGTCTGCCATTCATCGCCCCCTCACATATTCCGCTTTATCTTCCTGATCTTAAACGCCTGTTGGACTCATTACCGGAGTCTGTGCCCCTTTTGCGAGATTCGAGCTGTCGGTATACTTTCTGGGGTGGTGACCTGACAAATACCTGAAGCCACCTTCTCAAACCTTCGCCTTGTCTTCTTCATTATCTCTCCTGAATTCTGGCGAACCTTCTCATGTTGACAAGTGCACTCACACCCTTTTTCTGTATTTGATAGTTATTTCACTAATGTGAAGGGATAATGTACATTTCACGCAGGCACAATATTTTATGATAAAATATAGAGGACTGGAAGACTTACCGATGTATCAGTAGCTAAAGTTTGTGCCGGCACTCATTCAGTTGCAGGTCGGACACAACTGCTTAACCTGCTGAACGATGAGCTCGCACAATAAACA